TGTTCCACTCCTCGGGAAAAGGCATATTTTCGGTCGGAATCAGGTCTGAAGTCCTTACTCGAACGAACCTACCCATCCAGCCTCGATCCATATCCTCGTCTATACTCGAGAACGGAGCGTTGGTAGCTCGACGTTGAAGTTTTATTAACCCTCCTCAAAAGAGATGAGGACGGTACAATCGGACAAGATGATCAAGGGTGAAAGGCATCCCCTCGATTTTGTTCACAAAATATCGGATCAAAATAATGATCCGCCAAAAAGAAGGATGGATCTGGCCTATGGTTATTAGGTATTTACGACAAAAATCTATGATAACAGGGTCGAGGGGACCTAACGTGAAAGGGTAAGTGTACACACTTAAAAATCCTCTCACGTGAGTAGTAATATCCTCTTCGGGAGATGGCACTACCACTTCTTTGTTCCCCCAGTTACAATCTTTTTTTATCTACTCTATATACCCCCGAGTGATCGAACAAATATATCTCGATACGGGCTCACATCGGCCAGGAACCGACGAACCTTTATCGAGTTTGAAATCGGAGGTAAGAACACACACCGCCGGAACGCACTCCTTAGATCCACCGGTGATTTGTCGGCGGCAGATTGGGAAGAAGAAGCTTTTTTCTTTTGGGGGACGGTTTTTGATGTCTTCACCATTTTTGGATTTAAAGAAGGTGACAAAGATTTGGTGGTTTAGATGAAGAATTTTGCAGAAAAGAGTCAAAGATCAGCGAATAAACTTAGAAGAGACGAAAAAGAACTTGAAAAATTTTCTGAAGATTGAAGAAGTAAAAGTGATGAATGGTGGACGGAAAGGCTATTTATAGTTTGAAACAATGACGGTTCAATATCAGCGGTGGCCGACCACCATCTGACATGCATTAAATACCTTGAAAAACTAAATCGACGAGACAACTATCACGTGCGTCATGATCGAGCCCAATGTGAACGTCAGCTTATAATCCAATCGAGCCATTGAGAAATCATATCGTTTCTCACCACATCCTTCCCGAGAAACGAGGGGACTATCTGTATACGATCAAAATAGATTTCGGCCTTCGTACGATTGATCGGGGTCGAAACATAATGGATCAAAGAAAGACTTCGTAATATCGAGATGGGTTTCGAAGGTGGTACAAACAAGTTTCAGATTTCGGGTATAGATCAAACACCGAGTTCGAAGTCATTATCGAGCTCGGGTCCGAATCGAACTATGATGAGATGATTTCGAACTTAAGGAGCAGAGGCCAACCGGGATCGAGTCCGAATCATTACCTGATCCCGAGTCCATATCGAGTTCTAGAAGCAATACCAACCAGCATCGAGGTCGATCGAGCTCGAGCTCACATACAAGAGCCGTTGCAAACACACTAAGGGAGATAATCTCGGCGGAAATTAGGGAAAAATTGATTTATCATGGGTTCTCCACTATGTATTTTTAATTATATCTAAAGTAGGATCCTCCACTATAAAGAGGATGGCTACATTTCTGTAGAGGCAGTTCTTTGACTTACATTGTAACAAGCACCATATTCTCCTATATTCAAGAGTTACTCTTTTAAGTTTCATAAATTGATTCATCTTGCTTAGTCCTAAAAATCATCTTCTTTACAACCTTTTTATTTTGCATTCTTTGCAATCCATATTTGATATTTCTATTTATCCTTACGATTTGTATTAATCTATATCACATATCCTTAGAACCATATACAAATTCAACTCCATTCATTTTTCAGGTAAACATAGGATTTCCTAATCATCCCCATCGAAAGAAAGAGCGTGAAATTAGTCATTTCTTTAAAAGATAGTAAAATGTCCAAAAATAACATATAAAGGAGATGAAGACCAATATAAGAGCCATATCTAAACATACACACAAGACCTTGTTCAAAAAAACCGGCTTCGGCAGTTTGCTTCTTGCAATGGAACTTCTCTTTATATATGAAGTATTAGCACGAGCTGATTAGATGTAAACCTTGACAATTTAAGGGTTAATCAGATTCCACTTACTCATATATACAACGTGGATCACAAACTTCTTTTCCGCTAATCGTGAATCTCATGTGTGTGACGCAAGACTCCATGAAAATTATAACCTCATTGGAGTGCCTTATTTTTCCTTTTTTACTTCTAGAATTATAATTCACACGAGGGAAGAAAACTCGGTAAATATTAATGTTTCTCAATAGTTAACGCTTTTGGCTTAGAAAGGCCAAGCCGAAAAATGAATAAAAAATAAATGTGGGATTTTTACCTTCTTATACACTATTTGAAACCTTATTACTCACCCTACTCAAGTTTCAATTTAATTATATGGTCATATACAATTTACTAATTATATAAAAATAAGTTTTAAACGAGTATCCCTTTATATTAGGAATTGAATAAGGAATATTTATTTCCTTATCTCTTTATACTTGCCCACTCTCTCTCTCTCTCTCTCTCTCTCTCTCTCTCTCTCTCTCTCTCTCTCTCTCTCTCTTCGTCTCTCTGCTCTCCTTCTCTGCTTTTTTCCCCAATTTTTCTTCATTTGGTGTTCTCTATTTTTTATGCTTTCTTATTGTATATAGTTTTAATGAAATTCATCAATAGAATTCAATCGTTTTAACTTAGCAATTTTCTTTCATGTTGCACATTTGGTGTTCAAATTGAAATTGTCAATCAATAAATTTTGAAGGTATTTAACTCTCCACCATTGACAACCATTAAAAAGCTTTGAAGCTTTGAAATCGAATTTGGATTTTCAAAAATTATTATTTGTTTAGATTGGGTATTGTTGCAAACAATTGAGAATATTGTTTGGAGTTTATATCTCAATTTTGAGGGTATTTGATGAAGATTAGACTTGATTTTGGCTGAATTTTAAATTGTAACTCTAAGAAGAAGAAGATTGAAACATGACATACAATATACTTATGAAATTGTAGTAAAATTGTAGTATAATTGTATGTGAATTGTATTTTATTGTAGTTATATTTTTTTTATTTGAATGTTATATGAAAGTTGAAAAATAGTTGTATAATATATGAATCGTTATATAAAATTTGTATTTAAGTTATCAATACTATCTTTTTACATAAAATTGTTGATATGTATCAAAATTGTATCAAGAGAGAAAGTTTTGATTGAAATTTTAGAGAGGAAGAAACACACACCACATAAAAAATATCTACAAATCAGATACAACATATACAAAAGATATATTGTATAAAAATTGTATAAAAATTGTATTTAAGTTGTATGATATTGTAGTTGTATTTAACTAGGTAGAAATAATGTATGAAAGTTGTAGATAAGTTATAAATAAGTGTATACTGTATAGTTAGTTGTATGAAATTTATTTTTAATAAGTATGAAAGTTGTAGATAAGTTGTAAATAAGTTGTATATTATATAATTAGTTGTATAAAATTTATTTTTAGTTTATATGATGTTTTAGATGTATCAAATTTATATTAAATTTTTACGAAATTTATTTTTTAATTTGTATGTTGTTGTGTCATACAAATTTATCATCTCTCTGTTCTACTTACGCTTCAGCTTCAACTAATCTCGAGATCATTGATATATATGTCATGTTTGCGATATTCACCACTGTTACAGAAGCTTTGAAAAAGGACATGGAGGATAGCACAAATTTGTTCCGAATTTCTGGGATGAACTAGGTGAAAAGGAAAAAGATAAGTGAGTTAAGAAAAGCAAGGATTTTGCAATGAAAGAAACAATTTATATTCCTTAAAGAAAACCATGCTCGCAACTAAGGAATGCAAAATAATTCTGCAATTAAAAGGAATAGTTGATATGCCAACTATGGAAACAACGCAACATTCAGATGCGTACTTTGCAAGGAAGGATATTGCATTTAAAGTTCTGAATTATCTTCATATGAAGCGTAGCTTCACTGCCCACGAATTTTGGCTCTCAATTACGGGAATTTTGGGTGGAGAGAGGCAGCAAAGAATAGGGAAATTGAGGGGAGGAGGAAAAAAAAAAAAGAAAAATGGTGTAACTAAATCCCCTAATTTAAGGCACTAATAATGGATTTGAAGCCTTTTAAGGTGAAATGTATATAATTTGTAAGTAATCCTTGTTTAAGGCGGATAATATACAAAATTAGAACAATTTTGGTAAATAAGTTTCAAATATTGGATAGAAACAAAAAAAAAATCCCTTTATCGTCTGAAAATTTAGTTGAGAATCCTAGTGCCTAGTCGGATCATATAACAATTTTTTTTCCCAAGATTGTATACATAATTTTTTTATTTTTTTATCATAATAGTGATGTTCCATCTAAATCTATGCGCGCATGTTGATTATAATCTCCCACCAGCATAGTTACCTTGTAACTGAACACCTGATATATAAAAATACTAGAATATCAGCACATGAAGGGTAAAAGACTTATTCGTACTGCGTGTATCATACTAATTTATTATGATTAAGTGATAATCAAGGTAAGAATGTGTTTAATTAATTATAATTTAGTGATATTCTTGTTTATGAATAATTGTGTTATGTATTGATTGATACGATATAAACCTTCGACGCGGGTAAGTATTTACTCATATGATGAAGACAACACCCAGTATACATTCTTGTTTGTTCCACTTCAAATAAAAATAAGGGGATAAAAGGTCACCCGTAAAGTTAAAGTGTGTAACTGATTTATCTTGATTTATCTGGACAAATTTAGGTTGCAATGTATTTTCCTAAAAACTTTCTTCATTTTGAAGGTCAACGCGTCAGCCGCCCTTTTAAGTATGATTCAACATAGATATTAGTCGAAGATTTGAAGGGGGAGCAAAAGTAGAAAATGCGAAATTGGAAAGAAATTAAACTGGTCATTAAGTTCTAGAACTAACAAATACAATTCCATAGTTATCAGATAACATGAACTCTCTCACCTTCAACCAGTGCACAATTCACAAATGGTCAATTTGGGCGGCTTTTTATATATATGCCTATTTCTAAAAGTTCTGGTCCATGAAATTCCAAAGCCTCCTCCCTCTTCTTTCCACCAAAAAACAATACTATAACTACAGGACACCCACAATAAACACACCCTTTTAAAATTTAATAATCAGAACACTAAACTACTACAAAGCAATACTAGTATTAAATTATTCTAGCGTACGTGCATTTGTCTTAAAAAGCTTGGTTTGGTCCATCTGCAGGCCCTCTGAAATTCAACTACATTTTCCCCATGTTTATTCCTCCTCCCTTAGATATTGTTTCTGAACTAGCAAAACCCCAAATATTTTTTGCACAAATTTCTAAACCCCTGACATAACAAGAACTCATCTGTCAACTCAAGAAGAAAAGAAAACAAGATTGAGTTATACTGATCATGTCAGAAGAGGAATCTGATATCCTTCTTCGTCTTGCATTATTCCACTTCTTGCTTCTCATCACTTCAGGTTTGTATTCCTTTTAAGTCCTAAACTCAGAGCCAGAAAAATTTTCTACTGTTATATCTACGAAAGAAAATATTTTCTATCATAGACTAATTAATACGGAGTACATTAATTAAAATTATCAAAGATTCTTGCATGTTTAAAGTGGTACTACTAATTTTTATAGTAAAATTTACAGTCTTTTGAGTTTCTATATTCACTTGCAATACTAACGTTTCTATTTTTTCTATTTGTGAATTATAGGAAGGATAGTTTGTGGAGATTCACTCGAAACAGACAAGCGAGTGTTGCTGAGTTTCAAGTCATTTCTTGAGGAACAAAATCCAATTAATAAAGGATACAAACACACAGAATGGAATCCAACAGACTCGTCTCCTTGCAATTGGCCTGGAATTTTATGCGATAGTGGAATCAATCGTGTCACTGAAATTCACCTCTCTAACAACAATTTGTCCGGGAAGTTTTTTGATAACTTCTCGGCCATGACAGCGTTGACTTATATTGACCTGTCGACGAATACAATTGGTGGTGCCATTCCTGCAGACTTAGGCCAGTGTCAAAATCTGAGATTCTTGAATTTGTCACACAATATTATAGACGGGGGGCTCAATTTGACTAGGCTCAACAATTTGCAAGTTCTTGATTTGACCATGAATAGAATTCATGGGGAAATCAAGTTAACTTTCCCGGGGATTTGTGACAGTTTGGTGGTTGCTAATATTTCTTATAACAATTTCACTGGTGAGATTGGAAGTACCTTTGATCAGTGCTGGAATCTCAAGTATCTTGATTTGAGCTACAATAACTTGACTGGGGAATTGTCACTTGGTTTTGATAAGCTTATGGAGTTTTCGGTATCTAATAACAAGTTCACTGGCTCTCTCCCTTCTTTGTTTTTCACTCCAAACTGCAGTTTGCAGGCCTTGGATTTATCAGAAAACGGATTCGTTGGAGGATTTTCAAAAGAGATATCGAATTGTAAAAACTTGGAAGAGTTGAATTTGTTTGGAAACAACTTTTCAGGGCCAATCCCAAGGGAAATTGGTTCAGTTATGAGTCTTCAGGCACTTTACTTGGGAAGCAATAATTTTTCAAGGGATATTCCAGGGAGTCTATTAGGCCTAAGCAACTTGGTGTTTCTTGATCTTAGTAGAAACAACTTCAGAGGAGAAATACAAGAAATTTTCGGACGATTTACGCAGGTAAGGTTTCTATTGTTGCATGGTAACTCTTATACTGGAGGCATAGTTTCCTCTGGAATTCCCAACTTAGTCAACCTTTCTCGGTTGGACTTGAGTAATAACCAGTTCTCTGGTCCATTACCAGTTGAACTTTCCAAGATGGAAGGTTTAGAGTTTCTGATTCTTGCCTACAACCAGTTTAATGGAAGTATACCATCAGAATACGGGGATATTCCAACACTTCAGGCACTTGATCTTTCCTCTAACAAGTTAACTGGCGTGATACCACCTGGTTTGGGAAAGCTAAACTCACTTTTGTGGTTGATGCTTGCTAACAATTCACTGGTCGGTGGAATACCACCCGAGTTGGGAAATTGCAGTAGCTTACTATGGCTAAATCTTGCAAATAATCAACTTTCAGGGCCAATTCCTCCTCAGTTAGCAAGAATTGGCTCAAATCCTATGCCTACTTTCTTGTTGAATAGGAAAAAGGATAAGGTCACTGCTGGCTCGGGGGAGTGCTTCGCTATGAGGAGGTGGATACCAGCTGATTATCCTCCATTTAGCTTTGTATATCCTCTTCTTACAAGGAAGAATTGTAGAAGCTTATGGGATAAATTGCTTAAAGGGTATGGTTTATTTCCAGTGTGTGAGCCTGGTAGTAATGTTCGTTCGAATCAGATATCAGGTTATCTTCAACTCAGCAAGAACAAATTTTCTGGTGGGATCCCTCCTGAAATTGGCAGTATGCTGAATTTCAGTATGCTTCATTTGGGCGTAAATGAATTCTCTGGCACGCTTCCTCCAGAGATCGGAAAAATGCAACTAGTAGTGCTTAATGTGTCACAGAACAGAATTTCTGGTGAAATTCCAAGTCAGATTGGGTACATTAAGTGCTTACTGAATCTTGATCTATCCTACAACAATTTCTCTGGTCTATTCCCGGCTAGCTTTAGTAACTTGACTGATTTGAGCAAGTTCAACATCTCTTACAACCCGTACATCTATGGTTCTATACCAGAAAGTGGGCAGTTGACCACATTTGAGAAGTCATCATATCTTGGCGATCCATTGCTTCGCCTCCCATCTTTCATTGACAACTCTACGGATAATGCAATAAACAAGGGCGGAAGTTTCAAAAGGACCACAAAGATAGGTGCAATTTTGGTATTCTTGGCTCTGGTACTGGCTTTCCTAGTTTGCGGAGTCATGACACTCATCGTCTGCCTCGTCCTAAAATCTCCGATAGATACACCAGGATATCTACTGGAGGATTCAAAGGGACGACATGATCTACCATCAAGTTCAGGTGCATCCTCACCATGGTTGTCTAATGATGTTAAGGTAATCCGTTTGGATACAACAAGCTTCACACATTCTGATATATTGAAGGCCACAGGTAGATTCTCCAATGATAGAATTATAGGGAAGGGAGGATTTGGGACAGTTTATAGGGGAATCTTGCCTGATGGAAGGGAAGTGGCAGTGAAGAAGCTACAAAGGGAGGGATTTGAGGGGGAAAGAGAGTTCAGAGCTGAAATGGAGGTACTAAGTGGAAATGACTTTGGATGGCATCCGAACCTTGTAACTCTTTACGGTTGGTGCCTAAATGGATCAGAGAAATTGCTAGTCTATGAATACATGGAAGGTGGAAGCTTAGATGACATTATCACAGATAGAACCAAGTTTACATGGAAGAGAAGAATTAATGTGGCGATTGATGTAGCGCGTGCTTTAGTCTTCTTACACCACGAGTGCTATCCTTGTATTGTTCATAGAGATGTCAAGGCTAGCAATGTGCTACTAGACAAAGACGGTAGGGCAAGGGTCACAGATTTTGGCCTCGCTAGGGTAATGGATGCTGGAGATAGTCATATTAGCACAATGGTTGCTGGGACAGTCGGGTACGTTGCACCAGAATATGGACAGACGTGGCAGGCTACAACAAAAGGCGACGTTTACAGTTATGGAGTGCTGGCCATGGAGCTAGCCACAGGGAGACGTGCTGTAGATGGAGGTGAGGAATGTCTAGTTGAATGGGCGAGACGAGTGATGGGAGATGGAAGGCAAGGATTTACTAGAGCAATGATACCAGTTGCTCTTTTGGTATCTGGCTTAGCAGAGGGAGCAGAGGAGTTGAGTGGATTGCTTAGGATAGGAATAAGGTGCACTGCTGATAATCCTCATGCTAGACCTAACATGAAGGAAGTATTGGATATGTTGATTACAGTTTCTCGAAGCCAAAGATCAGGATCTAGTCATAGCACTTCTCCTTCATTTTGATCAACTTTTTTGTTTCAACTTACAGCAAAGTGTCAATAGTTTTAACCATTTGTAACATACATAGCACATCCTTCTTGTAAACACTTCTTTTAGATTCTTTATTCTGTCACTCTGGTTGTTAAGATCCCATAATTTTTGTGAAGATTATAGAGTTGAAATGTGAAGTAACTTTTCAAAGTTTTCCCATGGAAAGTTTAAACTTATCTGGCTTTGGGAGCCTCGCATAATATTTTGCTTTAGAATTTAAGTTCTATGCATTCATATTCTTAAGAATTTTTATACCAAAGGTTTGAATTGATATATAATAACAAGTAACTCTGCATATGATACAGTAACCATAAAAAAATAACTTGTTATTTGAAGGTCGGGGTGCACTTTTGGATTCAACCAAAATCTGTTTTGTATATAGGGTGCCCACTATTAATATATTACTATTTTCTAAATATATATATATATATAGAGAGAGTGTGTGTGTTTTTGCTGAACTTTACGGGTGCTGGTAAAAAATAGGTCCGCCTCTGTTAAAACTTAAAACCGATTAAATTGTACTTGTGGCATAAAAATTCTTTACAGCGTCAGGTATATATAACTCAAATTCTTTGCTTTTTTCTCCTAGAACATAATGAATGATGACTACAGATTCAAAATAGTTCCTCTCAAGAAGTTGCCCGTGAAATGCTAATATTGTGATTTTGGTGATGTAGTAGATGAAAAGAAATGTTAATCCAAGTAGAAGCAAATGACGCAGACAAGTGTTGACTCACTTACCCACCCAGAAAACAAGTGTAAGACTCAGTAACGATGGATTAGTTCCTTCGGAAAATGATTATGGTGATGATCATCAACATTAGTATTATCTAGTGCGCTGAATCTGTTGTCAGGTGGTCAAATCTTGTAATTGACATTCTATCTTTTTGTTATTATCCCTCGTTTAATAGGAGAAAAATTACTCCACCAAACCAATGAATGAAAATATGCTTTTTATAATTCATACACTTAATCATGGTTATTTGATGTACTTTTTACCTTAATTTGTAACTTCTAAAGTTAAATTGTCTTATTTGATGTTAGTGTTATTACATCAAGTTTAGATAATTATTGCCACACATACAGTATATATTGCATAATATTTTGCACAGGATTAACCAATGGGGTCAAATCATGGAATAATCACGACTTAAAGTTGATCTAGAAGGTTAAGGGGGAATAGCACTAACTGACTACTGAAATGCAGCGGATGAGTTGAATTTTCTCTTCTACAGACCGTGTTTAAGAATCAAGAAATTTAAGTCTTTACTTTTACTTTTAAAAATTTACAATTTTCCCAAGGTAAAATTCCAAGACCTATCGCCTAATTTTAAATTGTGAAATTAAAATAATCTAATAGAATCATATTCTATTTCACTTCTTTCTATTTTGATGAAACTGAAATTTAATTCGAATTCACTATACTATCCTAGTCCCAATTTTGTGGAAATAGATAAAGTCACAAGAATAATTAAAGCAAATTCAGTTTTGAAACAGAAAAAAAAAAAGAAAAAGAAAAAAGAGGCAGATGGAGGAAGGTGTGAGGAGATAACGTGGCACTCCCCCAATGCTCGCACGGAATCGTACAATACAAAGTGCAACACAGTTAGCGCCTGACCATTGATAATTAATCTCAACTTTACTCCTCTACCGTCGGATTCTGTCTCTTACAACACTCCATTTGTTTCCATTGCTATAGAAACAACAAAGCTAAAACCCAAAAACTGAAACTTAATCGGGCGAAGAAGGTACATTGATCTTTCAGTGTGTTGATTGTGTTACTCAATAGGTTATACTTTAACAGTAACCTTTATGTTTATAAATTTATCCAATTGAACTCGATTTCCTGAAGCTTTTAAGTATTAATCAAATCCTTTAAATACTGCATTCTATTTCTATTTGATAGTATAAAGATTTTACAGTAGCTTCATATTTGCTTAACAAGTAATTAGGCATGTTAATATTGATTGCAGGAAGTTGACATAAATATGGCTGAAGATAAGGGAGTGCGTTCCATGTCAATGGAGTATGCTATTCAGCGTGAGTTAGCATTTAAACAGAAGATTGCAAATTTATTTGCAGATGATGAGTGTCCACAAGATATTTTGCCCTTAGAGGTCTGTTTCTATCTATCTATCTTGTCCTATAAAACGCAGGCACCGTCTATACACGAAATCAATCATGTAAGGTTTATAATATGCATTCAAGTTATCTCTTTTTTATTTGATAAAACCTTTTTTTCTCCATGTTTTTTGGGCATCTAAAATACAACTGCTACTCTTCACTTATAGTAGTATAACATGCCCCTTGTCTTAAATTAGTAGGAAAGTAAGATGATTGGTATGTCTACAAGCTCATGAAGATTGAAATCTGAAGATTATTTCATCTGTTATATTCTCTTGAATTATAAAGAAAAGAAAAATCAGGTTTAAGTTTGATCTTAGCTTCAATTACCAAAAAGCTACATTGTATCTTGGACGGTGATAAAATGTGAAGTACTCCTTGTATCTTGTATGTTAGAAGGATCCTAGTAAAACTTAATCATTGATACTCATAGAAGGATCCACAATTTTAAGTTTATGGGTTCCTATATAAATCTCAAGTTAATATATAATAATAACTGGATTAACGAATTAGGTTCCAAACTAAATATTCTTATAAATTTAATGAATTTTTTAATACGCATACTGGATCTAGACAAAAGTTACTGGGTTTGCAAGAACCCGTAACTAATGCACGGAATCCGCCCATGTTGATACTGTTACCTGTAAACTACTACTTGTAAACTACTGTATTTTGTTTTAACGAATCCTACAAATTAACTTTATATATAAGGTTCAACCCTTCTAATAGAACATAATCCTAAATTTTAGGTGAAACGATGGAAAGCTTTGATTTCCAAGAAGAAAAGATCCGCTGATGGAATAGCAGATTGCTGTCCAACAACAACCTCTAAATGCGCCAAAGGTTCGCAGGAAATGCTGAAACTGTTGGAATCTGATGGTAGTTTCTGTTCATCTAAATGTAGTTTCTGTTTGTCTTTAATTCTTTTTTTCTCGTGTAAGTACAACTAGAATCTACAATTATCAAAACAATTGCTGCAGAATGTTACATTTATTTGCACACACTGTAAGTGTACAGTTTATTGCTGCTATTTTAAGATTTTTCCTCCTTTCAGGTACCATCTTCAGGAGCAATTCAAATGTAAGTCCTAAGTGTCTCTCCCCTAATCCATTAACTGACTCATCCTGTAAACTATATTTTGTTCGCTCAATCCTGCGAATTAACTTCATACGTCTGATGTTGTGTGTGTCAAAAATTCAAATCTAATAGAAATCATCCAAGTTTTAGGTAACAAGACGGAAAGCTTTGATTTCCAAGAACCAAACAACTTCTAGATACTCCAAAGTTTCTCAGGAAGCATTGAAACTTTTAGAATCTGATGGCGGAAGTAATATGAGAGGTAGTTTCTGTTGCTCTTTTCTTTTTCTTTTTGTTCCTGCAAGTAATACTAAAATCTACAAGTATCAAAGCACACAACTATATAGTTCTATTGCTGCTGTTACAAGATTTATCCTTTTGTCAGGTGCCATCTTCAAGACCAATTCAAGTGCAAATGCTGAGAGTCCTTACCCTGATCCATTAAACAAGAAGCCTTCTCCAAATCCATCTTCTGCTCCAGGGGCTGCGGCTGGAGAAAGTCCGACCACAAGTCATAGTGTAATGCCATTGCCTGATGCATCAACTTGTTTACAAACCCCTAATGCAGTGCTACTGCCAAACCATTTTCCAAGTACGACAACATCGCCACCACGTCCATCAACATTTATTTACTCACAGAGAAAGAAAAACGCAGAGTCCAGCAACTCTGGCGGCCTGCCACCTCAGCAGCAGTACTACTGTAAAATCTGTAGAGTTCACTGCTCAGGGACTCTGTGTTTCAAGCAGCACTTGAGAGGGCGCATGCACAATCTGAAACTCGGGGTTTCAAGTGTTGAGGAAAGAAACAAGCAAGTAAGATGTGACTTGTGCAAAATTTTCTGTCAGGATGAAAGTTTATTAAAGATGCACCTTGAAGGTCAGAAACACAAGGCTAAGCTACTACAACTCGAACATGGTGAGAAAATTAAAGATGAGAACAGCCAGCAATTCTGGTGCGAATTATGTCAAACTCCATGCATGAATAAAGAAACTTTCATATTACACCTCAACGGGAAAAAACATCGTAAACATGTGTGTGCTTGAAGAGGAGAGGAAGAAGAAAGCGGAAGCCATTTACTCTTCCATGATTAGTTTGGAATCCACATAACAGAACAGGAACCAGTCACCAGGGTGAGAAGTGTCACAATTCTTAACTCAAAAACTGTTTTTATATTGGCCTGTTTAGCCTTATCTTCATTTTATGATGTCTTGAACTCCTCGGGGGGACAGGTGACATTCTTAGATGATTGAATATCTATTACTCAATATCATCTCAGGGATACGTCCAAACTAAGCAGACTACTGATACAATCAGCTCCAGGTACTAGTTTTTAGGTGCTAGTCACATTTCGGTGCATTTATTAAGTTTTGTTGTCTTAATGTTGATCAGATTTTTAATATTTCTGTTTGGACACCTTACTTTAATCTGAATATATACAAGTACTGATATAAATTTAGTTACTCTGTGTACGTTTTAGACATGCTTTACAGCCAAATAGACCAACTAAATTAACATGTATGACATATTTAGACAAAAGTTTTGCAGGAGAGAATGCATTTGTTAGCACCACTCAAAGCAACAATAAAAATAGAACATGATCAAAGCCAAGAAAACACTTTGTTTAGAGCGGCGCAGATAATAAGCGACTTAAATGGTAAAAAAGAAGCACTAAATAGAAGGGCTTTTTTGGGGCCACCTTCATAAGTATTTTCTTCCATTTTTGGGGATACATTAGGCATTTTGATTATCAAGATTATCTTGAGAGCCACTACACAAGATGACAATATGAATCAATCATATCCTGTAATGGTTTTCATGAAAAGTAGTAAGTTGACGAAATTGGTATATATATATATATGTGCAAATCTCCAGAGAGGAAAAGACAAAAGACAAGCAGCCTCATATAAGCTTTTAGTCCAAAATGAGGATCTTTAGTGTCACGTCGCAGACTACCCATAGACGTGACTGGCACCCAACTAATACCATCTGTCAGGCGAACTCATTTCTTATACGTTTAACCATTTACACAAGCACTGAAAGAACAATAAGTGCAGGCCTAAAAGCATTACTAATAATTAAAAACGAAATTGTTACCAACCAATACCTTAGTCAATTGGTAGAAAGACCAACGGTCACTCAAATAATAATACTCTAACTCAAATCCCACACTAAAATCATGGAGTATCTAACAGAGTGACATGAGTTAAATTGGCGGGTATGCAAACCCTAAAGAAAAGGAAATAACCGACATAAACTAGATAAAGATACAGTGATAGCCTCCACGAACAATGCGGTGGCTCACCTCAGCAACAAAATCGGCCCGAACGAACTCTTCAGCCACTAGCTCTATCGTCCGTAATAGTATCTGCATGGAGATGCAGGTAAGGAGTGAGTTATACATAAATATAACCCAGTAAGATCCTCAACCCGCCACTCTGAGTACCGCTGGAACAAGTGTTAGAAAATACAAACACGCCACAACAAGAACGATATAATAAATACGATAATTATACAATAACTCGATATATATGTATCAACAGAGTTAATAAGAATTAATCAATAAGAACACACATATCTCAACCCCCTACACACTAAGTACTTGTTATGACTGCAGTAAAAGAAATTAGCTAACACCTCTATAAGTCCACAGCGGCACCACAATATCTCAAATATGTAACGGAGCATACACAATGCTCATTGAAGCATACACAATGCCTCAAATATGTCAAGAAGCATACACAATGCTCCGTGATGGTAGGCTATAATCCCGTATTTTAGTCGCTTATTGCACTATAATTCAATGCACTTTACTTGTGTTGAGCTTTAATTAGTAGTGTTTTGCACTTATTTTATATTTTATGCCGTGTAAGAGTGATTTCCGAGTTATGTAGATGGTGTGGAGCTAATTCGAGCTATTTGGAGTTTTGAAATCTGAGTAGAAGACCAAACAATTAAGTCGGAATCACGTTCGGGGGTCGAAAACCAAGTATGGACATTAAAACAAAATGAGAAAACAAATTCACTCTGAGAAAATTGCACTACTGCCCCGCGGGCCTCACAGCGCTAGTGCAATTTTCCTGCAAAGTGAAAAAAACTCAATTTCTGGCCAAATTTACACTGTCGCGCAGCATAGGGTGGCGCGAGGCGCGGCAGTGCAAAAAGTGGCTAGAAATGATTTTTTTTGGCATGTTCTGGAATTCCCTACATGCGCGCCGCATAGGGCGGGGCGGGCTACGGGGCGGTAGCACAAAAATGTTAGAGTGACTTCTCATTTCCGCTAAAAAAGGGTAGTTCCATCTGGAGTTTGTTTTAGGAGCGGCATAAATATACCAAAATACCATTTTAGATGGACTTTTGACACATTTTCGACCTAAAGAAGATAAGGAGAAGTTGGAAGAATACAAGCACAAGGATTTCATCATTCCTTCTTCACTCAAGATCCGGGTTTGGATTGAATTTATGTTTTCCTATACTTTAGTTACATTTGTGAAGAACTTCTCCATGTCTATGGAGTATATCTATTTTGGGTTTTGATGGATTTAGTGTATTGATGATTGTTAGTGGATTATAACTCTATTTTTATGTATTTAAATTATTTTTGAAAAATTTAATTGTTGCATCTATATTCACTTGTTCTTGTAATCGAAAGAGGCATAACTTGTGATATCTTTGCATTATATTGTTGGTTGAGTTCATAGATTCTTCTAAGTAATTGAAAGAGGCTACTTGAATCATTGATTAAATTTAGTTAGAAGAATAATCGAAAGAGGTTTTCCTAAAGACCGATCCACGACGTATTCTTACATATCTTTATAGTGCTTAAATTGGTTCATCTCGTGAGGTTAAGACTTAATCGAGAGAGGAGTTTTTGCTGAACGTTTGAACTAATAATAGATTGAATTCGAGAGACTCACTTGAATATTGAAAGTGAATTATCTAGAGTTAGATCCCGAACAATTATTCTGCACCTATCCTGTCAAAACCATATCCTCTCCCACTGATAACCTTGGTTGCTTATTCCTTGTTTCGATAGTCACTAGTCAATAGCTGTAGATTTTAGATTCTTAGTTAAATTTTATTATTAATCATATAAATCTCAATTGTTGATCCTCCTAGATAGCAATCAAACTAGAAACTACGAGAATACTATTTAAATCCAATCCCTGTGGATACGATATTATAATATACTATATTCGACTAGCGAGCACAATTTAAGTGTGTGTTTTGTACTCGTCACTCCGGTTTGGCTCACAGCCGTATAAAATCCAACACCATGGCTCAGAGCCGTATCAAATCCAACATCATGGCTCAGAGCCGTATCAAATCCAACATCAAGGCTCACAGCCGTATCAAATCCAACATCATGGCTCACAGTCGTATCAAACCATCAAACCCACCATCATGGCTCACAACCGTATCACACCATCAAACAACTTATAAAATAATTTTCGTATTTTTTTCATAAAATAATATATTTGCGGCTAGTCAAAGACCATCGAATTCGCCAAGCGCATGCTTGTCCCAACACATGGACCAGACAGAAAAAATATATTTTTAAAATGGGTTTTAGAAATACAAGCATCAAAGCTTAAAGTCTCACTTACCTCGCTAACGGAAAGTTCCCCAACCTTGCAACGTCTAGAACACCAATCAAACGGCCTCCAATGGCCTCAATCTATTCAAAATATTAAATAACACGTCCTAATTAGTCTAGGTGAATAATTTTCATAATCTTAGGACAAGTCAAAATAACAGTCAACCCCCGATCCAATTAATAAATAATTTATACACAAACACGTTTAAAAAGATTAACGAAAAATAGCTTAAGAAGAACTATACCATGGCTTTACCATATAATTCTTTCACTTGATTATTGCCATCATCAGTACTACAATAATTATGTCAATCATTGGCATAAGTATTATGTTTCCTAAATTCAAAATGGTAGAAATCAAAACTGGTGAAATTGTATCACCATAATTCTTTTCCATGGAAGATTTAAAAAGTAGATTTCAACCCAATATTTCTATTTGCACTATTCATATTACTATACAATCATGGATGTTATTACTATTTCCTTCTTACTTTCTAATCATTATCACATTACTAGTTAATTAATGCCAACAACCAAGGAAAATAGATATTTTACGTTTTAGTGGAGAATTTGAAAGGAAGGGTTAGGAATTAGTTCCAAATCATTGGAATATTATTATACGGGTATATATAATAACTATCCTCTACAAAAAAAATTCAATTCCATACATACCATTGTACAAAAATTGATAAAGTACCTGATTTTATAGCCCTTTCCTTCCGCAAAAATTCCGCCAAGAAGCTTTCCAAAGAGTAGTAAAATCCCACTAATTGTTTCCACCGCCACAGTGCCTTCATTATTCTTCCCTATATTATTGTATCTTCTAATGAAACAGGAAATCAATATTTTCCCTATTTAAATTTGTAAGTCCTAAAACATGTAGTTGCATAAGATGTAGGTTTTGGGCCCACTCCTTTTATCCTTATTATTATTATTATTATTTAAAATTACTTCCATGCTCACTAGCATGTATAATTATAAATTAGGCCCACTAACTATTTAATAAATTTTAAAACTCATTAATAAGTATGTATAAAATTTTCAACTATTACATTCTCCCCCACTTAAACAAGCATTCCTCCTCGAACGAGTTAAAAAGTGTACCTGATTTCTCAAACAACTATGGTACATGTTTCGCATGTTTGTCTCGTACTCTCACTTAGCATTCTCAATTGGATATGCGCCACAATATTTTCACTTAAGCAACCTTTTTCGACCTTAGTTATCACACTTGTCTATCAGCACTAGATATTGAACCTTCCTCGTAAGTCATATTTTCAATTAGTTTCACTTCCTTGAGATGAATAATATGTCGATGGTCATGAATGTATCATTTTTACGACATATTATAACCTCTTTCATGGGAGAAACCTTCAAAATATTTTTTTTCCTTTAATGAACCCTTATCTGCTCTATACTGTCCAAAGTCGTCCCATATTCAAACGATAAGATCTCATATTAAGTTAGTAATTATTATCACGTAGGACCTTGGTTAAAAGAAATTGATCATGAATCATTCACTGGTAATATCTATACGGCTAGTGTTGGACTGGATGCTTATATTTTCTCACACCTCCTTTGCGCTGGAACACATCCAGACGATTCTACTTGGTGCATCGCCGCTGATCTTCTTCGATCCCCTTGGTCAGTGGACCATTGTTCTGCGTCTTTAGATAGTTCATTCAGAAGTGTGACAATCTCTTCTGGAGTTTTCTTCATCAGAGGACCTGCAACCGCACTATTCAACAATTTCCTTGATGACGGGTTTAACCCGCCCCAGAAATCTTGGAGTTGCATCCATTGCTGCATTCCGTCATGAGGGCACCTCCGCAATAGCTCCTTAAATCTTTCCCGTGCCTCGAACACTGTCTCCCCTTCACCTTGGCTGAAATTGTGAATCTCCTTCCTCATCCGTCCAGTCTTAGCAGTAGAGAAATATTTTTCTAAGAACTTGGTAGTCATCTCCTCCCACGTGCGGATTGAACCTGTGGGTAGACTTCTCAACCACTGCTTTGCATCATCCTTAAGTGAGAAAGGGAGTGCTCTGAGATAGATTGCATCATATGATGCTCCATTGCAGCGGAATGTGTTCATAATTTTATCGAAGTCCATCAGATGGTTGTTGGGATCTTCATTGGGTTTGCCTCTGAAAATGCAGTTGTTCTGAATGGTCTGGATGACTCTCTGCTTGAGTTCAAAATTGTTGGCATCAATGGGTGTGGGCCTCACACTAGATTGTTGTTGGTTGTATACCGGTCAGTCATAATCTCCTAGAGACCTCCCATGCCAGGGAGCTGCATTATCAAATTCATCTTCGATCATGGTTCAGTTGAGATTGAACCTTCGATCTTCGCCGATTGTTTCATCCGCAGCTCTACAGGCTGCTTCTGCTGCTAACCGTGCATCCTGTTATTGAGCTGCCTCTCTCACATCTAGGTTCACGTCCTTTTTGTTGTTCACCATTGTAATTTGAGTCGAAGTCTGACCCAATAACGCTGTGCTCGATTCTTTCTCCCCCTCAATCGCAGGTGCTTGTCTAATTCTGGATCGTATGGCACCAATTCCTTGGAAGAGGATCGAATCATACACCACTAAACTTAACTTGTTGCCTGCACACAGATAAGAAGAGCGTAAAAAGGAAAATAAAATAAAAAAAATTATTCCTGAATTAGCACCGAAAATTATTTCAAACAATATTAATCGCCAATCCCTGACAACAGCACCAAAATTTGACGAGCGCAAAACCGGTGTATAAAACTTAGGCTCGCTAGTCAAAGATAGTATAGTATTAAATTGTCTCCTCAGGGATTGTGATAAATAATGTTCTAATAAATCTTCAGCTTAACACTATCTAGGAAATAAACCTTTGATTTAAGTTATTACCGACTAATAATAAAAACTAAGATTATCGATTGTGAGAAAGTAATGAAAATTTAGTGACTAAGTAGCAACGATTGAATATCAAGGTGCGAAGTAAGGGCTGTGACAAGATATTCGATCAACTATTATTCTGGGTAGCTCCGTGCTAAGTTCACTCTTAACTTCTATTGACTCTTTCGATTTCAATAGATGATTAGGCTATCTTGAGGATTTAAATTCTTCTTCCGAATGAATGAGAGTTCCGTTAACCAACCTAATGACATGCCCTATGAACACATGCAAAAATACAGTGAATGAATGATCTTTGGAAGTATGTCTCTCGACTATTTTTCCATATTGGGTCAATTGATAACTCTCTAAGCTATTTCGATTACCTATGAAAGGCGTAAAATCAACCCAAACAAGGTAACACAATGCGAACTGCAGCAACACTTCTCTTTCGATTAAAGTAAAACGATTACAACACTTCTGAAGATTCCAACTACTAGGCTTCGTATAGCTATCTCGCAATAAAAAAAAATTTAAATTGCACTTTCAAGTCATTTAAAATCCAATTAAGTTGCTGTAAAGAAATAATTGGCAATTATTTAAATGCGACTCACCTTAATTCGTAAATAGGTGGGGGTACTTCTTCTTCATTTCCTCCTCAGCTTCCCAGGTCATTTCCTCGATGTTGTTATTTCGCCATAACAGTTTCACGGAAGCCACTTCTTTAGTTCGAAGCTTCCTTACCTGCCGATCTAAAATAACTACTGGTACCTCTGCATAAGATAAGTCTTCAGCAATGTGAATATCCTCAATGGGCGTAATACGTGAAGGATCTCCAATGCACTTCCGCAACATAGATACATGAAACACAGGATGGACTGCTTCCAATTCTAAAGGCAAATCAAGCTCGTACGCCACCCTACCAATCCTCCGAATAATCTTATACGGTCCAACATACCTGGGGCTGAGCTTCCCCTTCTTTCCAAATCGCATGACGCCCTTCATAGGCGATACTTTCAGGAAAACCCAATCTTCTACATCAAACTCTAAGTCTCGTCGTCGAACATCTGCATAAGACTTTTGCCGACTTTGTGCTGTACGCAGCCGGTCTCTAATAAGTTTTACCTTTTCCATTGCTTGCTGGACTAAGTTAGGACCTAGCAACTCTGCTTCCCCGACCTCGAACCAACCGATCGGCGACCTACACTTCCGCCCGTATAGTGCTTCGTAAGGAGCCATCTGAATACTAGCTTGGAAGCTGTTATTATAAGCGAACTCAATAAGAGGTAGATGATCATCCCAACTTCCTTTAAAATCTAGCACGCAGGCACGTAACATATCCTCAACTGTCTGAATAGTACGCTCTGCCTGTCCATCAGTTTGCGGATGAAAAGCGGTGCTAAGATTTACCTGCGTGCCTAGACCCTTTTGAAAAGATTTCCAAAAATATGCTGTAAATTGAGCCCCTCGATCAGAGATAATAGATAATTGCACTCCGTGAAGGCGAACAATCTCTCGAATGTAAAGCTTGGCATAATCCTCGGCTGAATATGTCGTCCTGACTGGCAGGAAATGAGCAGATTTTGTAAGACTATCAATAATTACCCAAATAGAATCATACCTCCGTGGAGTGCGAGGCAAACCAGTGATGAAGTCCATATTTATCATGTCCCATTTCCATAATGGAAGCTCAATACACTGAGTTAGGCTTCCAGGCCTCTGATGTTCGGCTTTAACTTGCTGGCAGTTGGGATATTGGGCTACCATCTCCGCGATATCTTTTTTCATTCCATTCCACCAATAGATCTGTCGAAGGTCCCGATACATCTTTGTCACTCAGGGATGAACTGCATATCTAGAATAATGGGCCTCCGAAAGAATCTTGGCACGGAGCTCTCCTACTGACGGTACACATAAGCGGTCCTGGTATCTAAGGACTCCATCTCCAGTTAGCTCAAATAAAGGTTGTCGCTGCTATGGAATACTTTCCCTCGGTTTTATAAGCTCAGGATCCTCGTGTTGTCGCTCTTTCACTTCAGTAACAAAAGAAGATTTTGCCGTATTCTGAACGAGAATGCGTCCACCCTCTGCATCTACCAAACGCACCTGCAAACTAGCTAGCTGGCATAGATATTTGGTCATCTTGACCTTATCAGCTTCAACATGGCTTAGACTGCCCATGGACTTCCGGCTAAGGGCATCAGCAACAATATTAGCTTTGCCGGGATGATATAAAATATCAACATCATAGTCCTTTAGTAATTCTAGCCATCTTCTTTGTCGTAGGTTCAGCTCCCTCTGTTTAAATAAATACTGAAGGCTCTGGTGGTCGGTGAAAACATCAATATGAACCCCATATAGATAATGCCGCCAAATCTTTAGGGCAAATACAACTACGGCTAACTCAAGATCATGCGTAGGATAGTTCTGTTCATGTTTTCACAACTGTCTGGAGGCGTACGCGATAACCTTACCATGCTGCATAAGAAAACAACCTAGGCCAATTCTTGAGGCATCACAATATACAACATAACCCTCGGTGCCATCCGAAAGAGTCAAGACAGGTGCTGTAGTAAGCCTTTTCTTTAGTTCCTAAAAACTTTGTTCACATGCCTCAGTCCACTGAAACTTAGCTCNAGATTTCAGCCCGGACAGTCCGCGGTAAAACAGTCATAACTCTTTACTCCAATGTCTGTTTGATGTGAGATTTCTTTGGTTGCAAACTAGACTCGTAGACCTTCGATATGGTAGGTTGAAGGTCCCATAACTCTTTATATATTGGGATAAATGATCTGATACATTTGACCCAAAGTTTAGAAAATTTATTAGAGAAATTTACGATAACTTTTGCCGACCTTTATTTCGCAACTTGCTTGACTCCAAAACTTAACATGTGACCAGTGTGATATTATAATACCTCATAACACATTATTCTTAGCATATTATACACTCTTAGTCTTATCCCACAGGTGCAAGTTAACTTAAACCTTCCGAACGCGCGGGGTGCTACCCGAGCCATTTCTTTAACCATGAACCTTTGTTTAAGGGATTCCTTTGACTTAAAGCTTTAGTTTAGTTCCTTGATATTACCACACATTTTCAGTCTTATTCTCCCAATGTGCTATACCCAATCATATATACCTAATATAACTATGCCACATTACGTATATTACGTAAGAGGAGAGAGAAACACCTGGGGTCTCACAGGTTTCTCCAATCGCGACAGGCGGTCAGCCATTTGATTTTCTGTGCCCTTCCTGTCTTTGATTTCTAGATCAAATTCTTGCAGCAACAATACCCACCGCATCCGATGCAGTTTGGATTCTTTCTTACTTAGCAAATACTTCAGTGTTGAGTGATTAGTATGCATTATTACCTTGCTTCCCATTAAATAGGATCTGAACTTGTCAAAAGCAAAGACCATTGCAAAGAACTCTTTCTCCGTGATAGCATAGTTCACCTGAGCATCATTCAAGGTCCGATTTGCATAGTAAATGGGTAAAAATAGTTTATCTCTCCTCTGCCCCAGCACTGCTCCTACTGCCACATCACTGGAATCACACATGATCTCAAAGGGTTCACTCCAGTAAGGAGTCACCATTATGGGAGCACTCACTAGCTTTTCCTTGATCAGTTCGAATGCTCAGAGGCACTCTACATCGAACACAAATTTCACATCCTTGACAAGTAATGATGTTAAGGGCTTGGTAATGCTGGAGAAATTCTTGATGAACCTTCTATAAAACCCTGTATGCCCCAAAAAACTTCTGATGCTCTTCACTGACGTCGGTGGTGGGAGCTTAGCTATCACATCTACTTTAGCTCTATCGACCTCAATACCGTTAGTTGTGACTTTATGGCCCAAGACTATCCTATCCTTAAACATGAAGCGACACTTTTCCCAGTTGAGTACTAGGTAAGTGTCCTCACATCGTTTCAGAACAAGTTCGAGATTCCTCAAGCAATCCTTGAAGCCATCTCCAAATAGAGTAAAGTCATCCATGAACACCTTCAGACATTTCACATTCAAATATGAAAAGATTGACATCATGCATCTCTGAAATGTAACTAGTGTGTTGTATAATCCGAAAGGCATTCTCCGGTATGCAAAGATTCCGAAAGGGTAGCTAAATGTGGTTTTCTCAACATCTTTAGGAGCAATGGGTATTTGATTGTACACTGAATATCCATCTAAGAAGCAGTAACATCCATGCCCTGCCACCTTCTCCAACATCTGGTCAATGAAAGGAAGAGGGAAGTGATCCTTCCTTATTGCATCATTTAGCCTTCGGTAATCTATGCACATCCTCCAACCAGTAACTGTTCTGGTAGGAATTAGCACGTTGTCCTCATTTTTCACCACCGTCATGCTCCCTTTATTCGGCACAACCTGTACGGGGCTGATCCATTAGCTGTCAGAGATGGGAAATATTATACCTACATCCAGCAATTTAAGTATCTCTTTTTGCACTACCTCCTCAAGGCTTTTGTTCAATTTTCATTGGGGGTGCACCATCGGTCTGCTCCCTTCTTCCAATAGGATTTTGTGCATGCAGATTGCGGGGCTGATCCCTTGAATATTGGCTATACTCCAACCGATTGCCTTTTTATGCTTTCGTAGTAACTCCACAAGCATGTGTTCCCGTTCACATGTCAAATTTGTAGCAACAATCACGGGAAAATTGTTAGTCTCCAAAAAAGCATATTTCAAATGTGTCGGGACTACTTTCAATTCCAGCTTCGGCTTGATCTTTTTTTTCTCGAATTCTTCTTCATCTACCACCTGGTTCTCATCTTCTAGTGCCTCAACTTCCTTCCTGGTCTCAGGATCTTCATCCTCTGTTGTGCTTGATTGACTAATGCATCTATCTAATGAGTCACCTACCAACTTATCCAGCTTGTGTTGTTCAGCTAACTCTCCTGCCACATCCAGTTTGAGACAAGCATAGGCAGATGCCTCATCACATGGGTATTTCATCATTCTCTTTATTTGAAACATCACATTTTTGTTTCCTACTCGTAGCATGAGTTTCCCCTCATATATATCAAGAATAGCCCGGCCAATGCAAAGGAATAGTCTCCCCAGGATTAGAGGTACCTCCTTATTCACTTCCATGTCTACTACGATGAAGTCTACTGGGAAGACAAATTTGTCCACCCTCACCAGAATGTCCTCAATTATGCCCTCCGGTATGATCGTGGTCTGATCAGCCAGTTGCAAAGATACCGACACAAATTTGATTACTCCTAGTTCTCCTTCCAATTTCTTAAACACTGATAATGGCATCAAGTTAATGGATGTACCTAAATCGCACAAGGCCTTGTCAAAATTTTCGCTCCCCAACGAGCAAGGTATAGTGAAACTGCCAGGATCCCCCACACTTTTGAGGAATTTTATTTTGTAGAATGATACTGCAGCGGGCATTGAGTTTGACCACTTTCATTTCCTCGAGCTTCCTTTTACTTGAAAGGATTTCCTTCAAGAATTTTGCATAGGTTGGCATCTGGGTGAGCACCACGGTGAACGAGATGTTCACATACAGCTGTTTTAGCATCTCCAAGGATTTTCCAAAGCATTTGTCTAGTTTCTCCTGCTTCATCTTTTGAGAAAAGGATAACACTGGCATATGCTTGCTTTCATCAACTGCGCTGCTTAATTTCTTCTTATCAACCTCTTTGTTGCTAATATCCTCCTTAGGCAAAGATTCACCAATTTTCTGTTCTTCTGCTATCTTGGTTGAGTTAATCTCCTTCTCAACCCTTGGTTTTGCAATGGGCTCTGCTAATGTTTTCCCACTCCCGAGAGACACAACCTTGATCATTTTTTTTGGATTCTTCACAGTGTTTTCCGGCAAAGTCCCCGGAGCCCTTTCTGATAATAATGATGCGAGCTGCCCCATTTGTCTTTCTAGATTTCGGATGGTTGTGCCTTGATCCCGGATAGCGGTCCCTTGAGTCTCAAGTTTTTCGTCTAATTTATTTATGAATGCCTTCATTAGATATTCTAAACTTGAGTTGTTGGGCTGTGGAGACTGGTATGGTTGCCTCTATTGGTTCTAGAAGCCAGGAGGTCCTTGCATAGGTGCTCTGGGATTTTGTTGCTGCCATGAGTTCAAGCTACCATTTGAATAACTCCATGAGAACCCCAGATGTCTCTATCCCATAGAATTAAAATTACCGCCTCCTTGGTAGTTGTCTCTGTTGAAATTCACCAATGCCTTAACTTCTTCTTCTGCGGTGAAGGTTTGGCACTCATGAG